CCCCAAAACCCCAAAACCCCAAAACCCCTGAGAGTACATAACAATCTTTATAGAGTTAAATTGATTTTTAAGTTTTATTTTGTATATTAAAACTTTATATTAATTCTGATTATCTATCAATCAATCTACAATAAATATTATTAAAGCAGCAGAATGAATGAAAAAAATAACACATCATATACAACAAATGGAAATTCCATTAATCTACCATAAATCAAGGATTAAAAGGAGCAATAAAGTGAAAGCATTAAAAGAAGAACTTAATAAAGTTTTATACTAAAATCTATCTAATATGGGCAAATAATGAGATAATACGATACTGGAGTTGATCACTCATAGCTAAGAGCATATGATGAGATTGTTTTTAATAGTAAGCTGAAACGGAATAGAATGCAGTTCAGAAGCATTAATCCTAACAACAGGTATTCACCTAAACAGATAACTAGTAATAACTCTACTAGTCCCTCATCCAACTAAATCATCATAAAATCATATGAAAACATTAATGGCAATACCTCTTTATAATAAAATTATTAAAAAGATCCAAATAGCAGCAATGTATATTTCCAGTTTTAAACAGATTTGAAGATTCTTAATAAAGATAAGTCGGATGAAGATGAATTGATTCTAATGCTAGGAGAAAATAAAAAGCAGTCGTACTTAAATAAATATGAAACCAATAAAATTACAATTTTCCCAGTTGATGAAACAATTAATTCGAGAAACAATGAAAAGCTGCCAATATTGGGCAACAATACTGATATAAATGAGATCAATAAGATGATTAACAATAAATCTATCATAGTAGAGCCTACAGAATTACCTTTCAATGATATTGCAGATGAACTTGAACAGAAAATTAGGGTAAAGTTTAGTAGTTTGGCAGTAAACTAAAATAATAAAAATCAAACAGGATCCAACCATTCAAGAAAAAGCAAAGCAAAAAAGAATAATTAATAAGATCTTGATGTCCATTTGCATAAAATGGTTAACCGACACAGATACATTGAGAATGCATTATATCTAAAGGGCCTTAACAATGACTACAAAGTCCTCCATGACGTTCATAAAATTGAGCGCGATCTAGAGAGAAAACTAGCTTAACCATCTCTAAAAATAAACAAAGGCAATGTACTTTCCTAGCTTAAGAAGAGCGTGTTTAATAATACATTCTTGATAAGATAAAGAAAAGAGCAAGTTTAGCTGGATAGTAATCTTACTAGTATGGGTATTAACTTAGATATTTTTAGGAGTGCTGCTAAGCGTATGTTACGAAGGAAAAAATATGAAAACAAAAACCAAAATTTTGATGGCAACTCGAGAAAAAGCTCATCTGAAGATGAACAGGTTTTAGGAGATAGTCCTAGCTACAAGAATTATGATCAAAGATTTGAAATATCTAAAAGTAGGCTTAACTAGACGAGTCGATAGTTTTTCGATCAAACTTCTTCCAGATTACAAACTATATGTAAAGATAATTATAGAACATCTAAATAGAAGAAGAAAGTAGTATTTTCAATTGATTTTTAGAATAATGTAAACGATAAAAATAACGATGATCTTGGTCAAAATACATTGAACAGGTCTTTAAGGTAGGATTAAGATGTATTGCATAAACTAGATTTAAAAATTATGAGGTAACTTTAGAATAAAAGTTCAAATGGACATACGAGTAAGAAACCTCAAAAACTTTCATTGAAAAGGAAGCATACAAAACTTTCAGAAGATTAGGAAATTTAAAATGAAAGTAGATAAGTTAATAGGTTGCTTTTGAAGACAAATGATCAGTTCTTGTAGAAAAAGATACAAACATTTTACAATTAATGATGAGCTATATATTTGGATCTGAATATATCAAAGTCGAAATTAATATTTCTAATGAATGGACTTTATTAGCTTAATTTTCCTTTAATTATTTGGTAGTATTGCCTATAATTCAACTAATACTCAATTAACTGGATTATTTTACTTGATGGGGTTTTGGGGTTTTGGGGTTTTGGGG